CGCTGCACGAGGCCTGCTCTGCGGACCGAGCGCCCTGTGTCCACTTGCTGCTGAAAGCAGGGGCCGACCCGAACCTCCCAGACCAGGACGGACGACGGCCCTTGCACCTCTGTCGGGGGTCCGACGCCCTGGAGTGAGTGGACTTGCCAGCCGTGCGGACTGTGGATGGGGGGGCTGTGATTTGATTCCTGGGGTGAAGGAGAGCAGGGGGCAGGTGCCTGGTCCCGGGAAATGAGGTGTCTGGGGCCATTATGGGGGATAGGCACTGCGCTCTGTACCACAGCCACTGAGTCACAGCCCTGCCCTGGGGGCTCTAGGCAGGCTGGTGGTTCTGAGGGAGACAGCTGGGGTCCCCATGGGCACGTCTGCCATTCCCATCTCAGCTAAGCACCCTTGGATGAATGGACTCGGGACTGTCGCTAACGGGATTCACAAGAGACAGACAGATAGACTCAAGAGGACCATTTGTTGTGGGTTTGTAGGGACTATTTCTTTGCTGTGACCCAGCAATGGGGACCTGTGTCCTGAGCTGGGTGAGCCAGTGAGCCTCACAACTATTTTGGTACAGGCAGAGGGAGTCTTGGCAAATCTTCCCAGAACTAACTCTGCCTACCATAGAGGCCCTTCCCTGCTGACCGCATACCCCTCAGATTTCACATGTGGTGGCCTAGACGTGGTGCCAAGTCTTTGATCCTAGGAGGTCTCCTTTTTAAAAAAAAAAGCATATTATTGGGGGCTCGTACAACTCATCACAATCCATCCATCCATCCATTGTGTCCAGCACATTTGTCCATTTGTTGCCCTCATCATTCTCAAAACATTTGCTTTGTACTTGAGTCTTTGGTATCAGCTTCTCATTCTCCCCCTCCCTTCCCACCCCTCCTCCCTCAAAAACCCTTGATAATTTATAAGTTATTATTATTTTGTCATAACTTACACTGTCTGACGTCTCTCTTCACCCACTTTTCTGTTGTCCCCAGGGAGGGGGTTATACATACATCCTTGTGATCGGTTCCCCTTTCTAGGGGGTCTCCATTTTTTTGAGACCTCCTTCCTCCTGCCCACCTCAGCAGC